ATCGGAGTGGAACCTGAAAAAGCGTTTTTTATCAAAGTTTTAGTATGTCTGCATGGAGTTTGTGTTTGCTAAGCGTACCCGGTAAAAGCCAGTTGACTCTACAGAGCAACGCTAAATAAGCCCGCAAAGAAGCTGTCTGTACTACACAGACTGTAAAGTCTACAGACTCTGTAGACTCTACAGGATCTCTACGTGGAGGGGTCCCGAGAGCTGCGATCAGGACTTGCAGCCTGCGTCTACAACAGCTGTCGTTGACTTTGTCTCAGTAAAGCGTATCATAATAAGATAAAACATGTTTTTTTAAGGACGACCTTCGCGTCCAGGTTTTCCAGATTTCGAAAATACTCAGATTTCTGATTCTCCATGTATTGTCCAGGGATACCCCCATGTTTCTTCCAGGTTTCCTTATACAGAGTGGAATCGGTCGCGCGTAGTATATTCCGAGCGGATATATTACGCGACCAGGTATTCTCCAGTAGGAAAACCCTGGAAAAAGCATGTGTGCGAGACTTGAGCAAAAGTCAAAGTGACGGCAGTATAGCGTTGCAGATAGAGGTGGAGCCAATCCGAGTATTGCCCCAAACACAGGTATTGTCCAGGGATAATACCTGGGGAATACATATGTGCTCTACTTGCGAAGAATCCGAAGTGAGCGCAGCTGATCAGTGTCGGCGCCACAGGCGCCGACACTGTCCAGCTGCATAATGTGAGTCCAGGTATTTACCAGTTGGTCCCCAGGTATAGCCCATGTATTGTTATTTGTTAGCTGCTAGACCACCTGTTGCTCTTCTTCTGGCTTACTACTTCCGCTTCATCTTCAAAATTGCGTGCAGCATTGACCAACGCAGCTTGGTCAACCCTTTCGCCGAGACGTCACTTGGAGCTGCATCGCTCACACAACTCCAAAAGAAACGGCAAACGAAAATACCAGAACTGTCGCTGTCTTTCTGGATCGGGTCCACTAATTCCAGGACTGAGTAAGTTGTATCCTTCGTTGCCTTCACTAAAATCTTCGCCACTAGCAGATGCAGCGATTTCCGGTGCTTCTTGCCATTCATGCTGTCGTACACTTTGACTTGTTTGGCACCTCGACCGATTACTATACCACTCCAGTGAACACCCCCAAGATTAACAGGCAAAAGAACGAAATCTTGCACTTCGACTCCTCTAACAATAGAGCAGAGTGTTTTGTCACCAACGCCACTCTCCTCATCTGTTGGGGGCAACATCACAGTGATGTTATTCTTGTACTTCGCGAGATACACAGTGAACGCACGCAGCGCGTTATCGTTCAACCAGGAAGAATCTCTGAAGCGAAACAAGTCACTGTACGTCAGGTCAAACCCGAATCCGTTCACTGCAGCATAAGGCCAAGACTCCAGTAGGTTCACGGCTGCAGTTTGCGCTGGGGCTGGATCGTCCACAGCAGCCTTTACAGATCGGGTAAGCCAGGAGCAACATAACACTGCTTCCCTGCACGCGGCTTGCAGATTCCACAAGAACTTCATAGCTTCCAACTGCTCTCGAGTGAAGCGACCAACTTTTTCAATGGCTACTACGTAACAAGCCGCATTATCCATTTTTTTCCCGTCACTGTTCAATTCAATATGTTCGTCACTTGCGAGCCCCTGTTTCAGCTGATCTAGTGCGTCGTCAATAACCGATTCCGCCAGTCTAAACCGAACTCTATCTGGCACGTATTCCATATCAACCGACCATTTGATCACAATCGTTTTGTTTCTCGACTTGACTTGGTATGTTGCCAGATACGACCCCACCTCACGCACAGGTGGCAGAATTTCTTGAAGGCTCGCAGAAACATCACAGACGTCGCTTTCACGCAGCAGTGCCCTGAGTTTCATTCCCTGATTGTACTCTTTGTGCGCAACTCGTGCCTTTTCCTTCATCACTGAGCGATTTAATTTGGGTCGTCCCACTCGCCTGACATTGCCTGATAATCTCACAAGCAGGGGTGTCGAAGCTGTATTGCAGTCAGTGATTGTCATTTGCGTCCCAGATTCAGCTACTTGTGTAGCAGACTCAGCATCGTATTCATCATTGTCCTTTTCATTTGACTCGTTCTTGCTACCATTAGGCGTCCCTGTGGTATCGGGTGGATCGTTACTGCTGTCACCAAAGCCCGAAGCACTACCCGTGTCGTCATCACTTTTGTCCGGCGTGTGGGGTCTGGTTTGTACTACCTCCTCATCCGTTATGTGACCTTGGCGCAAATTGTACCACCACGTCTCCATTGCTTCTAATGCAGACTCAAACTGATCATCTGGAAAGCGCGCAAGCTCACCACCAATTCGTACAAACGCTTGTTGGGCACGGCGATATTTCTCTGCTTCACTCAGTCCAGAAGCCCCAGTCGCTGTGCTTCCCTTCGCCTTGAATATCTTTGCAACAAACGGATCGGCAACCTCGGACAGTTGCTGCAACTGTAGACGGCTCTGTCCAAACCATCTAGCAACAAAACACTGATGTTAATAATTAAAACCTGGAAAAACCTGGACAAAACCTGAACAATACCTGGGTGCTATGGCGGCGAAAGGTACCACGAACGGGTGGCCGCACGACTTCTTGTACGTCATGGCATGCCTGCACGGAAGCTTCATGGTCTGGGAAAACTCGCAGTCACACGTCCAGCCTTCCTTCTCCAAAAGATATTCGTGGCTCCATGCCGTACAGCTATTGTTGCACCATTGTCTTTGAATGCGTAGCGTTCGGCAAGTGTTCTGTCTACCGAAATGTCGTATTGAGTTTTGATTGTTGGTGATAATGTGCTTCATCTGCGTGAGAACAAATTCTTCATAGGTGCCAAACTTCTTCGAGTTGCGAATCACATTATGGAGCCACTTTATCACATGGAAATGACACAAAAGAACACGAGCCTCTGGCAGCTTCTTTCGAATCACATCGATTTCTTGCATGTCCTTATCGACAATGACAATACACACGAAACGCCAATGCTCGTTCGCTCGTTTAAAATGATCCAAGCTTTTCGCCATGTGCCAATCGGAGTATGTCTCCATCAACGAGTACTGGACGGGCTGACCTTGACCAAATTGATCCATTGCAACGATACTCAGAAGCTGGTAGTTGTATCTATACAGAAACCCTGTTAATATCTGGTAAAAAACTGAAAAAAAACTGGAACATTTTTCACCAAATACTATGAAGAAACTCACTTGTTCGTCTTGTGTGTGCAGTCCATCTGGAGCACCTCTGGGAAGCTGTCCTGCATCGCACGCATGTGCTCACTCGAGAACGATATCACTCCGGTGTCGCCGTGCGCACTTTCGTTCACCGTGGCCACATTAGCTGGTGACTCCTGGTTAAAGTCCAAGATCATCTCTGCAACAGCGTCATCATCAGAAAGATCAACATCTAGATAGATACACAGTTCTTAGTTAGTCAGGACATTTCCCACCCAATAATACACTAGCATAACTTACCTGACTTCTTCATCCTAGCTATCAAGTTGCGAACATCATCCATGGTGACAGAGTGATTTGAGTTGCTGCGAATATAGTCGTAAATACTCGAGGTTCCAGCTTAAGCAACTCAATCCCGGGCATAAGCGGTGAATCAGCAGGAACCTGGCGAATACCTGGATAATACCTGTAAACTTCCTCGGAGACGAAATGGTTATGAGAGTACACCTCACGCTTCATCTTGATGCACCATGTGCCATCGTCCTTCTTCGAAACCTGGGCCAGCATCTGGAACGGACACTCTGTGCGGCGCAGCGTGTGAGAAGTCCTCTTACCCGACGATCGTTCACGCTCCCGCCAGCCATGAGTGCAAATATATTTTCGCTGAAACGGTTCCATTTCTACGGGCACCAACGGGATCTCAGAATCAGGGCGACCATTGTAGCGTACTTGTGCACGGAGGTCAGCATTACGGCGCGAAACTCGGATCACCTCTTTGATCACAATCTTCTGGCGCGTCGAATCCATGTACTGCTTCAAACTCACTTCGAGGTCCGCCCAGGATTCGTGTTCCGCCTTGAACGGGGGGGGGGGGGGCTGGACCAGCTCTTCGTCTTCTACCATGGAAGCCGACCTCTTTTTGCCTTGCCGGTTCGCACCGGTCTGCCGCATTTTGTTTGTCTGCATAGTATTCTCCTCTCGGTTTTCTTGGTCCGATGCCTGGCTTTCTTCACCCTCCTCCTCCTCCGCCGGCCCCTCCTTCGAATCTCTTGACGCTTCAGAAACACATTCTTTGGCACCTTCTTCGTGCCCTGGTACCTCCGCCAGAGCGTCCGCTGAATCACCATCCATTCCCTCGCTGGCACTATCTTCTTCGTCGACTACAGCGTGAGGGCCAAACTGGCCACGAATCTCATCAGCACGCTGGCATGCTTGGGATCTCGCCGCGCGGGTACGAGCGTCCATTACACCGGCGAGCCGGGCTGCCTCCATTCTGCGAGCCTCCTCCTCCTTGCGTGCCTCTTCCGCCATCTGCGCCTTGATCATCGCTGTCTTGTGCGTTCGCGCCATGGTGGGGTCTTCCGAGGGCGCTCCGGTGTCCTCCGGGTGCGCTGCCAGCCGTCCGCCACGTGTCACGCTTCCCCCCCTGGAACTGAGTGGCTGAGGCCAAAAGAAAAATTACGGTAAGAAAAACGGTTTTAGTTACAACTGGAAAATACGTGGACGCACACCTGGAAATTCCCTGTTTGGAAAAACCTGGACGCGAGGGGTGCCGTTTTTTTAAACAAGGCTTCAACTTTAAAATAGTTGAAGCCTTTCTTTCTCCTTATTATACTGTACCAACTCGTTGAAAGCGGAACGTACCGGTATCGAACACGGGCTCCCACAATGAACAATGGCGGGTTAATGTGGCGTTCGCCGGTCGCACAACTTCATTCATTTTTTTGCACGATTTCCAATCCGAAACACCATTCCCACTTTTACTCTCTAACGCGCACAGGCACCAGCACTGCTGGCAGCAGACTGTCGGTCAAGAGCAATTAACAAGCTGCGTGCGCACCAATGAAGCCTGCAACATGGTTGCGATGGGTACTAACAGCCAACTAAGTCACGCAGGTCTCCGCGGCATTCGGAGACTCGCTCACTAGCGGTTCCTACAAGGAAGGCACTGTGCATGCAGCAAATCAGGTACAAGAGTCCACATCGACGGACGAGTATTTTTCGCCATTCGCTACTGATGCGCCGTCCGAAGCACTTTTCCAACGCAAGGATGGACTCGCCGCGCTCGCCCCCATCATCAACGTCGCCTCCAACCTGCTCAACAAACCGATACCCACCAACAAATGGTGGGGGAACCTCATCCACACCACAACAGAGGACATCGACACCGTCGCCAACCCCGCATGGTCTAATCCGTACGCGCTCAAGCTACCCAAAGAAGCACCTTTCGGTATACAAGCATACTACTCGTACACATACCGTCAAATGGCTGGTGAGGTGAATGGCGTCGTCCGATACTATCTGCATGAATTCCACAACGACGTAACGTTATCGGCGAATGAATTCGGGTCGACTAAACCAGACTACGAGGTGTACTCGTTCAGTGAAATGGGGGTTTCTGTGCGGACGTCTGTTACAGGCAGTAAAAACTGCATGGACTCCGCGCTGGTGCATGGCATGGCGTTCGTATCGGCAACGTACGCCGGTTTAACGCCCCGCATCGAGACCGAATATGCCATGACGCTGCAAGATGCTCGACGCCGGGCAAGTACGTGGTGAAGCTCGCGAACCAGCAGACGTGGGTGATATTTGCGAGCGACACGGGTGCTTCGTTCCACATCACGGGGTCAGCTCTTGTGAGCAATGCGGTTTACACTGGAACACTTCGGATGGCGATTCTACCTGAGACTGGCGATGAGAGTGTCTACGACGACTACGCGTCGTGTGTTGTCCGGGGTGGAGACGTGTCAGTGCAGTCCCGAACAAGCTACTCGCTGGACTGGGAGACTGAAGGCAGTAGCTGTGACAGCACGGGTCTGTTGCATTTCGCGCTACCGCATCAAGTGGAAGTTATGAAAGAGGCTATTACGACGAAGAGCAAGGGTGCCATCGTACTGCACTCGAGCACTCGTGGTGATATGGTGGCTCAAGTGACGAAATCTGGTAGCTGGGCCTTGACAGAGGATGAAGCAGACGAGGAAGTAGACTTCTATCCATCAACTAAGCCGTCAGCTGATGTAGTTGCGCAGGTTAACCTTCTGTCCACGTTGCAGAGCGACATTGATAGTGCGTGGAGCTTGGACAGTGGTAGCTGGTACTACAACGGCAAGGCGTATCAGAAATATGCCTCGCTGTGCTTGATCGCAGCCGATAGCTCTGTAGTCGGTGATGATACAGCACTCTTGAAAACTTGTTTATCGAAACTGGAGGCTCTGGTGTGGCCTTTCGTGAATAACACAATGAGCGTGCCGCTGGTGTATGAGACATCATACAAAGGTATCGTAACCAGCCAGGTTTTCACCGCCAACGACGTAAATGTGGAATTCGGCAACGGGGTTTATAACGACCACCACTATCACTACGGCTACTGGATCACGGCGTCGGCCATTCTAAAGAAACTGAATCCGTCGTGGTCGGGAATGGCACAACTAGAGACAATGGTGTGGACGCTGCTTCGTGATGTTGTAAACCCGAGCTTGGACGATCCGCATTTCCCTAAGCTCCGTCATTTCTCGTGGTATTTGGGACATTCATACTCGCACGGTGTGACTCCCATGGCCGATGGCAAGGATGAAGAGAGCACGTCAGAGGACGTGAACTTCTTTTATGGTATGATACTCTGGGGACAGGTTTCGGGTAACAAGGCGGTGGAAGATCTGGGCAGTCTCATGCTACGCCTCAACGCTCGTACCGTACGGACCTACTTCCTCATGACCTCGGACAACACGATACACCCGCCTCAGTTCGTTCCGAACCACGTCACAGGCATCTTCTTCGACAATAAAGCGGACTACGCGACATGGTTCGGTCCCGAGAAGTATTGCATCCACGGCATTCAGATGATCCCGGTGTCACCTATCAATGGTTTGGCACGTACGAAGACGTTTATCCAGGAAGAATGGGATGACATTTTATCAAAGGAAGCGATTGTTACGGGTGGTGATATTTCCAACGCGTGGTTGTCGCTGTTACTTGTGAACGAGGCTGTCATCAACCAGGGCGATGCACTGGCAAAGCTGCCGTCAGTCACCATGGATGACGGGCTGACCCGTTCGTGGGCTCTGTACAACGCAGCATCTCGAGGAGATTCCGGTTCTACAGGGTCGACGAAGTTGGTTACGGTGCCTCCGAGTACTAACACGAAGGCGCCCACGGTCACCACTGCGACTCCGAGCACCACGACTGCAATTCCTTCTGTCACTACTGCTACACCAACCATCACTACTACTCCCTCGACTATTAAGACGAAGGCTCCAATTGCTACAACATCAGCACCCGAAGTCGTAACAATGTCTCCCATCTCCCAGAGTAACGTCACGAACACACCCGTTACTGCTGCTCCGTCACCAACGACAGTACCAAGTACTACGATCTCTACTCCTGCGTCGACACGTCCGCCTAGTCCACCTACATCGGCGCCAGAAGTGAATACTGGCGCTAAGTATCCCGGTTGGACATCAATCCCGCCTGGATGGACGTCCATTCCCCCTGGTTGGACTTCGATTCCTCCGGGCTGGACATCGTATACTCCTGGTGTGGTCGTCCCTGAAGGTGCAACGAAAGTGGATTCCACTGACACTACTCAGTTCGTGGTGCAAAGCTAAGCAACAACTGTGTGCAGGGTGCTTGTTATTGAAACGCGGAAATAATTTCACCCGTGGCCATGGTCCGTGGATTTATGTTTGTGCGCTCCGTAACCCAACTGGCAAACAGTGATTTAAATTTAAAATCTTACGTGGTAAATTACAGTAAGCTTACAAAACTGACTAACAGTAGAAAAAAAAAACAAGCATTGACAACCCCCTAATAAGTCTGACTTAATTTAATTAATACTGGGTCGAATGGCCCAGCAAACCGATTAACGTCACGCTAACATTCGTACAACATTCAAGAGAAATGGACGGCACCGGTACGTTCGGTACCACAGTACAGGCTGGCAGTTGTTTTGAGTATTATATTGTGCACTTCAATGCTTTTGTCGTTTTCACATGGCTCGATGCTCGATTTATAATAAATAGAGGCCGTTTTATTAAATCGAGGTCTTTAAAAAGTACAAATCGATCGACTGATAGAGCAGCCAAATCGACCGCTTGGTACCATCAAATCCACATCGATATCCTGTAAATCGACCATTTTTGAAGGTAATTCGAAACACATTTAAAACCAATCGATGCCTACCTTTTCCCTTCTCATTTTTATGCCTGGTTTTATGCTCCGATCATGCTCAACCTACGCTTTAAAACGGAGGGACATTCCATCTGTAAAGCACAATACATCTAGGAGCTTTTGCACAGTATTCAAGTACAGTATGCTTTGTCGGTACATGAACAGTGTTTTTTTTTGGCCGGCATAGTGTGTAAGACCAATACAGGCATGCAATAAAAAACAAGAGCACGCAGGCGCTGCAAGTTCCTTTAGCCGCAGTGTGGACTTTAGTACGGAGTTCAGCTGTATAAGGGTAGTCAGAGACCCAGCTGAGAGCACAAACTCAACAAAATGGAAATTTATATCATCACGGGGCGGCGACAGAGTACCAGGTTTGGTCAGGGGGTGCCCAAGGAAATAAATTGATCCATCAAAAATCCGGAGGACCCGTTCAGTATACATGTATATAGCGCTCAGTTTATCTGATAGTACTGATTTTCACGGTGGAAACAGTAATTTATTGCATAAATCGCTGCAAATGCCGACTGAAATGTAGGACCTTCTTCTAAAATGCAGTTATATCTTAGCGGTATACCAGAGTCTGCCGTTCCCGACTCTTGCGACCATACCTCTTTGCACTATGCAATCTTATCGCTGATCCTGAGGTTTTCCGGTCTGTTCCTGGTAAGTGCAGAGCTGCACTTGTTGGGACTGCTGTAGGTGTTGTTGTCTACTGATGGCCTAGGACGCTCGGCCGACTTTCTACCGGCAGGGGGGGGGCACACGGCTGAGCACCTGCCGGTCACGAGAACCATCAAGACACTATATAGCTTCGGAAGTGTAGTAATAATGTGGCCTGGTGTGGAGGAGCGACGCGATCTTATTGAAACACATTGAGAGAAAGACGGCATTGCATGGGCGTATTGGATTTATTGGATAGACCCTTTGTCCGCTTCTCACTCAACCCCAGGACCACAGAGATCACTACTTGTCTCGGAAAGCCTCTAATGCAATACATTGGTTGTCATTTGTGATTCCTTAGTGTCGCATTAGCTATACGAACGTTGGGGTGACCTGGGTCAAGCCACGACAATTGTGTGGGGAGGAACTGCAAAATCGCACTAACGCTAAACGAAGAACACTATTTTGGTCATCGAGAGTACATTTTAGAAGCTTCAGTGTATTAGGCCTCTAAACATTGGCTCCGTCATATTAGACTCCGCGACTACAGTGCCCGCCAAATCATTAAGACCCCCGATTTGGCGGGACAATTCTGACAATATCTCGGCTTCTAGCCTGAGTTGAGAGCTGCTACTTTGATATGTTCTCTCTATTAGGCTTACAGAGGTGCCACTTGTGTTAACAACTTAGATTTCTATGTATCTGACAGGGCTGGTATACAAATTCAAGGTTTGGACATCAGCGTCAAATTATTAAGACCACATCCTTTTTATGACGAAAAAACACTTTTATGAACAGACCCTTACAAATTTCTATATTAAAAGAGTGATGGTCAAAATAAGTAGATGGTTGGCGGAAATGAGCGGGTAGCTAGACGCTACGGAGGCTGTGAGCCTTTCATTTTCTAATGGGCCACGGCAAGACCCTCTCCCAACAAGAGTACTGGTTTATCGTCGGTCTCCACGACGGAGGCGTCTCTCTGCACGAGATCGCTAGGAAGACAGGTCGGTCCCGTACGTCCGTTTGGAACGCAGTCAAGGCGGAGCGGGGACGGAAGGAAGACAGGGGTGGAGAGCGAAGGGCTGGGCGGCAACCGGCACTGACGGAACGAGAGCTGCGGCAGCTTGTGCGTGCCGCGGCGACAGGTGAGTTCTTTGCTGCGGAGCTCAAGACGAAGTTCGGCATCAAGGCGTCCGTGAGGACGATCCAGCGGGTTCTGCAGCGTGTGGACCATCTGGTTTACACCAAGATGGACCGCACGCTTCCCCTCACGGCAGCGCACAAGGCTGGCCGCATGCAATGGGCGGAAGATTACATACTGAAGCCAGGTAAGCCTCTCATATTAAAGTTTTGCTGCAATTTTGTATTATAACAATATTTTTTTTTACAGTGCCCGCCAAATCATTAAGACCCCCGATTTGGCGGGACAATTCTGACAATATCTCGGCTTCTAGCCTGAGTTGAGAGCTGCTACTTTGATATGTTCTCTCTATTAGGCTTACAGAGGTGCCACTAGTGTTAACAACTTAGATTTCTATGTATCTGACAGGGCTGGTATACAAATTCAAGGTTTGGACATCAGCGTCAAATTATTAAGACCACATCCTTTTTATGACGAAAAAACACTTTTATGAACAGACCTTACAAATTTCTATATTAAAAGAGTGATGGTCAAAATAAGTAGATGGTTGGCGGAAATGAGCGGGTAGCTAGACGCTACGGAGGCTGTGAGCCTTTCATTTTCTAATGGGCCACGGCAAGACCCTCTCCCAACAAGAGTACTGGTTTATCGTCGGTCTCCACGACGGAGGCGTCTCTCTGCACGAGATCGCTAGGAAGACAGGTCGGTCCCGTACGTCCGTTTGGAACGCAGTCAAGGCGGAGCGGGGACGGAAGGAAGACAGGGGTGGAGAGCGAAGGGCTGGGCGGCAACCGGCACTGACGGAACGAGAGCTGCGGCAGCTTGTGCGTGCCGCGGCGACAGGTGAGTTCTTTGCTGCGGAGCTCAAGACGAAGTTCGGCATCAAGGCGTCCGTGAGGACGATCCAGCGGGTTCTGCAGCGTGTGGACCATCTGGTTTACACCAAGATGGACCGCACGCTTCCCCTCACGGCAGCGCACAAGCTGCCTGCATGCAATGGGCGGAGATTACATACTGAAGCCAGGTAAGGCCTCTCATATTAAAGTTTTGCTGCAATTTTGTATTATAACAATATTTATTTTTTTACACGTGCCCGCCAAATCATTAAGACCCCCGATTTGGCGGGACAATTCTGACAATATCTCGGCTTCTAGCCTGAGTTGAGAGCTGCTACTTTGATATGTTCTCTCTATTAGGCTTACAGAGGTGCCACTAGTGTTAACAACTTAGATTTCTATGTATCTGACAGGGCTGGTATACAAATTCAAGGTTTGGACATCAGCGTCAAATTATTAAGACCACATCCTTTTTATGACGAAAAAACACTTTTATGAACAGACCTTACAAATTTCTATATTAAAAGAGTGATGGTCAAAATAAGTAGATGGTTGGCGGAAATGAGCGGGTAGCTAGACGCTACGGAGGCTGTGAGCCTTTCATTCTCTAATGGGCCACGGCAAGACCCTCTCCCAACAAGAGTACTGGTTTATCGTCGGTCTCCACGACGGAGGCGTCTCTCTGCACGAGATCGCTAGGAAGACAGGTCGGTCCCGTACGTCCGTTTGGAACGCAGTCAAGGCGGAGCGGGGACGGAAGGAAGACAGGGGTGGAGAGCGAAGGGCTGGGCGGCAACCGGCACTGACGGAACGAGAGCTGCGGCAGCTTGTGCGTGCCGCGGCGACAGGTGAGTTCTTTGCTGCGGAGCTCAAGACGAAGTTCGGCATCAAGGCGTCCGTGAGGACGATCCAGCGGGTTCTGCAGCGTGTGGACCATCTGGTTTACACCAAGATGGACCGCACGCTTCCCCTCACGGCAGCGCACAAGGCTGGCCGCATGCAATGGGCGGAAGATTACATACTGAAGCCAGGTAAGCCTCTCATATTAAAGTTTTGCTGCAATTTTGTATTATAACAATATTTTTTTTTACAGTGCCCGCCAAATCATTAAGACCCCCGATTTGGCGGGACAATTCTGACAATATCTCGGCTTCTACCGAGGCGTCTCTCTGCACGAGATCGCTAGGAAGACAGGTCGGTCCCGAACTTCCGTCCGGAGCGCAGTCAAGGCGGAGCGGGGACGGAAGGAAGACAGGGGTGGAGAGCGAAGGGCTGGGCGGCAACCGGCACTGACGGAACGAGAGCTGCGGCAGCTTGTGCGTGCCGCGGCGGCAGGTGAGTTCTTTGCTGCGGAGCTCAAGACGAAGTTCGGCATCAAGGCGTCCGTGAGGACGATCCAGCAGGTTCTGCAGCGTGTGGATCATCTGGTTTACAAGATGGACCGCACGCTTCCCCTCACGGCAGCGCACAAGGCTGCCCGCATGCAATGGGCGGAAGATTACATACTGAAGCCAGGTAAGCCTCTCATATTAAAGTTTTGCTGCAATTTTGTATTATAACAATATTTATTTTTTTACAGTGCCCGCCAAATCATTAAGACCCCCGATTTGGCGGGACAATTCTAACAATATCTCGGCTTCTAGCCTGAGTTGAGAGCTTCTACTTTGATATGTTCTCTCTATTAGGCTTACAGAGGTGCCACTTGTGCTAACAACTTAGATTTCTATGTATCTGACAGGGCTGGTATACAAATTCAAGGTTTGGACATCAGCGTCAAATTATTAAGACTACATCCTTTTTA